GTTAACATCAGCATACACTGTGTATTTATTCTGCATTTCTTTAAAGCATAAACACTGAAAATTAAAAATTTATCTGATATTAGTCTCTATTAGAGTGGCTTCTGCTCTATCAGAGTACACCAAACCATGAAATAGCAATACATCAAATATTTCAAGAAAATAACAATCATACTATTCTAAAACCATTAATTAAATTATATCAAATGATTCAACTTTACTCACTGAATAATCTCTAAAGTATAATGCAATAAAAAAAACATTTATCACAATGTGTGTGTAAAATCAAAATTGGTTTTATGTTCTATTACCTCCTCAGATAAACTTTATTTTCATTTTCTCATTAATTTCCCTGTTACAACTGTGAACTTTTACCAGGCTATTTCAAAATAAAGCCATATTAGTATATTTATGTCTTGGTTAACCCAGTTGAACTTGAGCTTTTAAAAAAGTAATTGCCAATTCTAGACATTTATTTGACATTATGATGAATGATTTATTGAGAAATACAACTTTATATCAATACATGAATCACTTCTATGGGATATTATTGAGCTCCACAGCAGTTTGAGCCTCTGTTTTGAAATTTACAATTTCATTAATGAGCTCCTGCTCACATGTACTCTCATAATTACACAAAATAACCACAACAAATTGCTGCATTTCATTTTCTGGAATGCAGCTCATAGTTAGCACTAATTGCTGAACTCCTTTGTGTTTTTCAAGAATTCACAGGAATAAAGTTGGCATGATTGTGCAGATCTGATTGTATTTTTGTTGATGTCTGATAATCTCATTTTAGTTTATTTTTAGCAGTACTTTGTCTTTTAAATTCTGAGAATTGAGAGGCAAAACCATTCAACATTTATTCGAGAAATAAAATGCCTAGTACATGGTACATTGAATACACACATAATAATAAAGCCAGGTAACTGAGCATTTTCTAATATCAGAAAAATATAATATAATTAATATAATAATGTAATATATAGAAATAATGACTGGAAATTCTAGAGCTATAATGAAGAAATTAAATTTAGTTTTAACACAGTATAACAACCCTCTGTATTTTTATTCTGTCATTGTTTATTCACTTGTTTATTTGTAGAGGGGTGGTTAGTGATTGTATATGAGTTAGAGTGGCTTCCATAGAGTAGCTCTACGCCATTTTTAATTGTACTTGGATGCTATTGAACATGTCTTCCAATGGCCTTTAACCAACCACCTTTACCATGTTTACTTTGTGATTTTTGCATTGTTTACTACATGTATGATCATACACAAACATGTAAGACACTTTTTAAATCCATGTAGGGACACTTTTTAGTGTATGTGTACTTTAAAAAGTCTCTAAATTTGAGTCTCACTTAGACTCACAATGTTAGGCTTCATCACAGTTTGAAGACAGCTCAGTGGCATAAATCCACAGAGTCCCAAAATGTATCTATCCTGCTTCAGACATCACCAGTCACCTAGACATTACAAAACCTCTAAAAATCAATAGTTTTGAGAGCAAAATTAAGCCCAGAAAGATACATTTGCCTCCTTCTCAGTCCTTACTCCTTTCACTCCTGTACACTTGACAAATTTTCCGAAGTGCACAGACATGCTATTAGGATCTTGCATATGCATCATTTCCACTTTTTTTATTTTACCTTTTTTTCTTTTTTTGGATGTTTTATTTATTTACATTTCAAATGCTACCCCTTTCCTGGTTTCCCCTCCAGAAAACTCCTATCCCATACCCCTTCCCTGCTTCTATGAGGGTGCTCAACCACCCACTCCTGCCTTGGCACCCTGGCCCCTACACTGAGGCATCAAATCTTCACAGGGCCAAGGGCTTCTCCTCCCACTGATGCCCTGCAAGGCCATCCTCTGCTACATATGCAGCTGGGGCCATGGGTTGCTCCATGTGTACTCTTTGGTTGGTGGTTTAGTCCTTGGGAGTTCTGGGGATCTGGTTGGTTGATATTGTTCTTCCTATTGGTTGCAAACCTCATAAGCTCCTTCAGTCCGTTTTTTAACTCCTCCATTGGGGACCCCGTGCTCAGTCCAATGGTTGACTGTTTAGCATCTGCCTCTGTACTTCTCAGGCTCTGGCAGAGCCTCTCGGGAAACAACTATATCAGGATCCTGTCTGCAAGCACTTCTTGGAATCTGCAATATTGTCTAGATTTGGTGTCTGTATATGAGATGGATCCCCAGTTGGGGCAGTCTCGGAATGGCCTTTCCTTCAGTCTCTGCTCCACACTTTGTCTCCATATTTTCTCCCATGATAATAAACACGAAAGGTAAGTGTTTCTATTCATATCCTCTTTATTCATCATCTTCTTCCTACTTTGTTTCTTCTCTCTTATCTATGTCTTGACTTCTAATCTTCAGAATCTGGACACACATACATATGGAAGATCTATTGGTTTTATAGTTAGTACAAGAAGAACAATTTGAGTTGCCCAATTGCCAATATTAGAGTGTCAACTTCCAAACATCATCTTTCCTAGTTGCCCCTGGACTCATTGTTTCTCATCAGAGGCTCTTTTTGGGCCTTATTTGTATTATAGACATATATTGTAAACTATGGAGAAATTTATCTTTCTATATAGTTCTTTTTGTGTGTGTGAAAGAAATGTTTAAAGCATTTTTAATATGGAGTTGCATGCTACATTAAAATATATACTTTCTCTGACATATTTCTTTTGTGAGACAAAACTCTATGGGTAAATATTCATTAAGTTTAGTCATGAATTGTGGCTGAATGTTTTTTTACTTATGGGTAATAAAAACTGCTGTGTAATTCTAGTTTTAATGAACAAAAAATCAATAACTATATAATAAACATGCATCCATGCTTTCTCTATTAGAAATTATACTCTAACATACTGTTTTCATTATTAAAATTGATTTCTGAGAAAGTCTATTACTTTTCAGAGTCTGCAAGCAAAGTATCTAACAATATCCTACTTTACAGCTTTTCTACCTCAGCTGAGATTTCTGAAACTGCATTAGCTCTGTATTTATTTATACAACTTACTATTGATTTATGCTCAGTTTCTTGGTGTGATCTGGTTATTTAAATGCTTACTGCTACATTATAAATTACATTTTATAAATTATAGTTTATATAGAATTGTATTTTATAATATACATATACAGAAAAAATTTCAACTTCGTGTACTAAAGACACTAAACATAAACATGTCAGAACATTCTTCTTTGTTTGATAATTCTGCAAAAGATATTTCAATATTTTTTAAGATTATCTTTGATAGATGTGATTGAGTGAATGTGTATGTGTGTATGTGTATACATCCATTCATGGCCAAAATTGCATTTCATCAAATATCAAAGTAATACCCTTTCAACTTACAGGCATGAGAAGATGCAGATATTTATTTTAATTTCATAAAACTATGAATGTTTGCTTTTTTGTTTTAAGTTTGAAATGTGAGATAAAAATGACAAAATACACTTTTTATTTATTTTGCTGTGGATAATATTATCTAAGAAATTACTGTGAGTATTCTCTGTTTAGTTATATCTTTCTATTTGCTAAAAGCAATAATATAATTAGTTTAATATACCTTAGAATTATCATTCAAGTATTATTGTTTCAGTATCCCAACCTTCAATACCCTATTCTCTTTTTCACCTTTATTTGACATTTCTTTTGATAATTGTACCTAAAACATTTATTGTTTTAACAGTTTTGATAATCAATCTTACTATGTACGAAGTCAAATAACATTAGTGAGCAAATATTGTTCCGGTGATTCTACATTACCTTTGTCTTTTAGAAATTTGTATATTCCAATTCTATTTTTAAATACAGTATACGTATTTTTTGCTGTGACTCACTTTCATGATAATAAAATATCTTGTTATATTTTTAAAATTATAACATAAGGAAAAATTATAAAGATAATCTATATGCTTTTTAAGGATTATTTTACAAGTACTATTCTAGGAAGTCACTGAAAGAGGTTGCACTTCAAAATTCAAATAAATTTTCATAACACTTGGTCATAAAAATGAAAAAAATGCTACTTATCAATTGAAAATACTGCATCAACCTGCATACAACTATACCTTATAAATAAAAGCATTTGAAAAGGGGCAACATATTTCTAAAATAATCATTTAAATCACTGGTCAGAGAAATATCCAGAAAGATACCATAGAAATGGGATAAAACTCTCTAAGGACTCAGTGGGGTTGACCTTAGCCAAAATGCCCAACACTGGGAAGAGGAAACTCGAAGAACCCACCTACAGTAGCTGGACAGGCCCTCTAACAGATGGACAGGGTTACTAATCCACAGTCAAATTTTCTGACCCAGATCTGTTCCTGTCTAAAAGAACCTCAGGGACACAAATGGAGAAGAGACTGAAGGAAACGTGGTTCAATGACCAAGCCAACTTGGGATTTATCTCATAGGAGTACAGCAAGGCATGACACTATTATTTATACTATGATGCGCTTATAGACTGGAGCCTGGCATAGCTGTCTCCTGAGAGACACTACCAGCAGCTGACTGAGACAGAAGCAGATACTTATACACCCAACCACTGAACTGAAGTTGAAGACTCCTATGGTTGAATTAGGGAAATACTAAAGAAACTGGAGGGGAGAGCAACCCCATAGGAAGTACAGCAGTCTCAACTTACCCAGACCCCAGGGAGCTCCCAGAGCCTGAGCCACCAACCAGGAGTATACCAGCACAAATATAGCAGAGGTCTGCCTGGTCAAGCCTTAGTGGGAGAAGATGGGCTTAGTCCTTCAGAGGCTTTTGGCCTCAGGGAAGGGGGAGTCCTGTTGATGGGGGGGTAGCATCCACTCAGAGGCAAGGGGGAAGAGGAATTAGATGAGGAACTGAGGGAGGGGGAACAAAAAGGGGGCAATGACAAGAATGGAAATAAATAAAAGAATAAAAATTGGAAAAAAATGAGATAAAATGAAGGAACGGGAAAATGTTTTTGTAAGTTCAAGGATGAAGTTCAGCTTACCTTGATGGCAGTGGATGCAATTTGGATGTGATGAAGTCTGCGGAGGGTGCTATCCCTGTCAATAAAATAGGAAGCAGCCAACTGATGTAAGGTCTCAAGAGTAACAGATGAACTATTGGTGCTGGTTTCACTTCCTTCAGATCGTTTGCTCAGCTTCCGCTTGTCCACAAAAATTGTGAGTGACTCCTCTCCTGTATTAATAACATAAAAATGATTTTATTTCCCAGTTAAAATAAGTTTTATACTTATCCCCGAGAAAGAATGCCTACAGAATCCTGTGAAGAAACAATTAGTAAAATCATAAAATTTAATGAATATTTCAAAGTTTTAAAGGTTTTTCTTTCCCAAATACCTAGAAGTATCAAAGACATTGAAGACTTGGAATATTTGTTTAGGATACATTTAAATATAGAGATATTAAAGGACAGTTTCATTAACCAAATTGACATTGTCTTGTAGTTTAACTAAGTAAACATATGCAGACCACAAAACAAACTATAATAAAACATCAAGTGAAGTTTTGTAGCACTGTATTTAACCATACCTTTTACAACAGAAATGGTATAGTGAAATAGAAACAAGAAAACATAATTAGTTCTCAGCTATACATTTAAAATGAACAAAATCTCTGTTTTATGCATATATGTACACATTCACAAGTTCCCTTCCTATTATGTATTGAAGTATGATGCATTAAAAAGCACTGTGTAAGTGACTACACTCAATGGAAGTTGTAGAAACTGACAGTGGACGGTGGAATATGAGACAAGACTTGCAGAGCATTACATGGAAAATCAGGTTTCCAGAGATTAAATGCCAATGAACAAAACCTACATTATGTAAGTTAGACATGAAGAGTGTTTTCTTCTCAGACATTTACAACATTGCATATTTATCTAACACGTGATTGCCAAACTGGCTGCATGTTCTGTCTCTTAGGAACCCATCTGTTCTGATGGAACTGTGCCCAGTTACAAACTGATAGGTTTTGCTTAAGGAAGGTCAAATAAGATCATCCACAAATGCAGTGTGGATCTCCTTTCTATCTGAAAGATTATATATATATTACAATAGGATGTCATGGGATCATCTAATCCTTGAGCTCATAGACCTCTGCAATACAGCAGGTCACAGTAAGCTGTTAACAAAAATTTGCATATACAAAACATTATATGATTGAAATAATTTAAAATGTTTTTGAGACTATAATTATATCATTTACCGCTTCCATTTCTAGCAAACCTCGATACCACAGTTTAAAGGATAGTGCTATGACAGAATGCAGAGAAATGGTTACATTGACAAGTGTATATGATGTGGCTCAGGGAAATGTGTAAGATGAGTATGTGAGCCTGCAATTAAATGAGTGATGACAAAAAGATGCTTATATTTAAGAGCACCACTAAAAAACCAAATGAGTTTTCAAATGGTTCTAAAATGTAAGAAATGTAGATAAATCTCAAAACAGCTTCCATCAGAAGCACACATAGCAAATACACTAACAACTAGTTAACACGTATTTTCCCCCAAGGAAAAGACAAACATGTAAAATGGACACATCAAAAAAAAAAAAAAGAAAACAAATCAATATTGGAAGCAATAAAAATAAATTTTTTGAGCTCTCTGTATTTTTTATTGAAGTATTCTTATTTCTAAATCTAAACACAAACCAATCTGCTTAAAAATTTTACATTTTTTATTTTATTTTGATATTTTTTATTTCTTCTTCTTCTTATTATTATTTGTTTACTTATTTATTTATTTACAGTCCAAATGTTTCACTCTTCCCAGTCCCTCCTCCGCAAGTTTTTTCCTCCATCCTCCTTCCTCTTTGCTTCTGAGATGGTGCTCCCCTACTAACCCACCCATCCACCCCCACCTCACCCCACAACAGTATGCAGCAGTATCCCCTTCCCTGGAGCATCAAGTTTCTACAGAATTAGGCACATACTCTTCCACTGAGGCCAGACAAGGCAAGCAGTTTGTGAGTGTAACATAGTCCACCTCCTTGGTATGGTACATTCTCCTAGGCATTGGTCATGGCTGCTTCTTACAATTATCATTAGTTATTTATTCATATGTCTGAGTATAACACACAAATCACATTTACTTGGATGGTCTATTTGTATTCATGTGTACATACATGCACATGTAATGTATTTATATCAATTAATGATGATTTCATTTTTTCTCATGCATCTTAATGCATTTTTCCATATATCCTGTATACAGCTCAAAACACATCTTTGAAAGAGACATTTTAAGTCATGGTTTAAACATAGCTTTGAAAAAATTTTGGTAATAGAAAATTTAAACATCAAACTTGCTGAACTGACACAAAAGGATTCACAGGGAATTCTACCAAAACTTTGAAGATGAAAAAAAGGTTCTTTGAGATGTTTCAAGATAACATGACAGAAAAAAATCTTAATGTAATTTCACACAACAGTGGCACAAATATTTGAAGTTTATAGAGACAACACATAATTATTCATTAGTATTTCTGAAAGATAAAAATGATGTAGCAATATATAATATTTACTAGTAAAATAAAACAAATCTTCCTTCTCCCAACCAATTGTAATAATTCTAACAGTGTGAGGATGTTTCGAGATTAGGAAATAAAGAAAAAATTAGCACATCATGATATCTAGGGATAGAAATTATGGTTATCATTAATGCTTACAATGTATTTGATGATGGATATCTATTCATTACTACTTAGAACTTTGTAAATTAATAATTAGATCACAACTCTTAAATAAGATAATAGACGTAGCTCCAGTAAAAAGCCAAGTAATTTACTAGAGAAAATTAGAAAATTTTTCTGATTAAAATTAGATCCAAATGAGTGTGGGATCAAAGGCACTTCCCTGTAGACCTGCTACTTTGGGAGTAAAGGCAGAGATGGTCCAGGAGTCAAGATCTTTCTCAGAGCAATATAGTGAGTTTGTGTCCTATGTGCGCAGCATGAAAGTCTAAGTACATAAATATACACAAAGACATAAGCACACAAACACAGACACAGTTGCCATGAGAAGACAATACAAACACAATGCATGCTAGGTGGATGTTTTCACTAAAACATTTAAAAGTGATTAATGATGTTGTACTAATGTGAAATTTAAAAAGCTCAATAGACAAATTTGTGTACTCAGTTATAGAAATTATGTATAAATCAACTATATAAAACACTAACCAAATGGTCAAAACCTCACTGATGTAATATTACAAACCATTAATCATGAAAGCTAAAAAATCTACATAGTAACCAGATTTTCTACTACTCAGAGCACATACCAAGAGGTTGTAAAACCTTAACAAAAAGTCATAAAAAGGTAACTAATGATTTATTATAGGTACTAGGACAGAAGATAAAATACTGATTGAGTTTATCTACACAAAACTTCACCAACAACTGTGTTATGGTTTTTAACTCTCAGTGAACCTGTGGAGCTCTGAGAGGTGATGAATGTTTAGCCAGATAATTACTCCTAATGGATATGTATGTAAACTTTCTTTGTTGTAAACGTCTATTTAAACTTATTATTTGATTCTATATGTGAAGCTGTGGTAACCTGTTTAACATGTGATCATGTATTCTGAAAGATGTATAAGTGTTAAGAACAAAATAGAAGAGTCAGTACTGAGCCTGGAGAGAACATTTTAGACAGATCTGAACTCACATAGAACTTTGAAGTAAATGCATAGCTTTGGGAGAAAAGACCTTGAGAGTAAGAGCATAATTGTGACACTAGAGTGAAAGGAGGGAGCAAGATTAGAGGAATTCAGAGTGGAATAATTTAGAAACTATAGGTACATAAAAAACTAAGAGAGTAATGTGCAGAATGCAGAGAAAAAGAGGAAAAAAGAAGCTACAGAGAGAGCAAAAAGAACAGGCAGGCTTCTTCTTACCATGGGACAGAACAGGTCTTTTCTTAATACCAAGACAGGCTTAATCTTACTAAAGGAACAAAGCTTTCTTCTGACAAACTTGGGTTTAATTCATTTAGCATTAAAAGTGTAGAAGTCTTTTCTTTCTCTGTGCAATAAAGATTAGAGCTCATTTTTCATCCAGAATAAGTGAGTTCTTTCTGCACTGGTGCTTCATCTTTGGCTCCAAATGTATTTGTAAGTATGAATGTGTGTGTGTGTGTGTGTGTGTGTGTGTCTGTGTGTGTCTGTGTGTGTCTGTGTGTGTGTCTGTGTATAGTTGTGAGAGTTCATGCAAGGTGGGCCTAACTGGTTTGAATGGAAATATATATATGCACACATGTGAATCTGTATATGAATTTATGTGTTTATGCATATTTGCTTAGGTAAAAGTTTTTCTTTCTGCAAGCATTATTCTCTACTCCTGGTTCAATAGGAGTTTATTGGTCCAAACTTTCCTAACCTGACAAATAAGAGGCATCTGGACAAAAGGGAAAAGGCTCTAGCAATTAATCCTTTACTTAATCTTCTGCTGTTTTAGGATGAGGTGCTAAGTGCGAGAGACTGCTGTTTCTGGCCTCAGAGAAATACAGAAGGCAGGTCAGCTATAATAGCATAGTAACTTAGACTTGATAAGTAAACCTTTAATTATTATACAGCAACCCCAAATATCCATAGCAACCCAGCAACTGCAGTTTTGACTATCAGAAAAGGACCTAATAGTAGTCCCACTATAAAAGAGCTTAATAAATACTGACATATTTTTAGGAATTCTTGCAGCAGCAGCATTAATATCAGGGACATGAACATTTAATCTCTTGGTAAGACGTATGTCAACCTCAGAAAATAGACATACTATTGCTTCTTTTTAAACAAGATTAAGATTAAAATTAAATTCTAGGTCTTTCTATTTAGACAAATTTAGAAAATATTCACAGCATTTTTTGCAGTTTCCTGCACTTCTGTGATAGCTCTCTATCTTCCTTTCTGCCCCACTTAAAACTCATGGCCTCTTTTGTCACTGAGTATTATTGAATGCAAATATATATCTACATATTCATTTATGTTCTTATGTTTAACCTGTTGGATCCATATAATATTTAGAAAACAAAAAAATTATTCTGAACCAAAGCCCTTAGACTAATATAAGTGAATTTTTGATAAACAAAGACTGCCTTTTTAATTTTCTTGTGATGAACTTTTTAGCACTGTCATAGAGTATATTACCATGTCCTGAAAATAAGTTATCTGAGTGGGT